AGCATAGGAGTGTACACAGTCAATGATGGAGATGATGAGAAGAAGACCGGGCTGCGGACATTGGGATTCACTCCTGGACTGGTCGGTTTAGGTGCAACTGCAGATAAACATAAATAGTACATACAGTGAGTGGTAGACTGTGCATCGACCTGCGGGGTAGTGAAGAGCAGAGTGGAGGAGGTCCGTGGTCCGAAGGAGCGGCTGATGCAAAAAAAAAGGGAATGTACTCTAAGCAGCTGGAGAGAAGAGACACAAAACACTAAATACAGATTCAAAAGAACGACGGGGAACAAACGGGTCTGAGAAAAGCTAGAAAGAACTGGCAAGGGAGTGAACGAAGAGCAGGGACTAAATAGGGAGAAACTAATCAGGTGCAGCTGGTGACAAGCAGGTGTAAAGGATAGCATAATCAGGTAAAGGGAGAGAAAACAGAGTGAGGGGAGTGAGAAAAGAGGTGCAACCGGGCAAACCTGACAACTACCTGGACAGACTGAAGTTATCACCGTTTGTAGGAATCAAAACAGAAACAGACATTCTCTCACACCGGAGGAAGTTATGTCTTTGCATGTCATGTTTAGTTTTCTTCTTAGTAGAAATACAAAAGGTACAGTAATTTACAGACAGTAGTTCCTGCTGGGTTTTGGTATGTGATGGTGTTCATTTGGGGAAAACTGAGAAAAAGTTCCCCAATGCAGATTTCAGGCAAAATGTTTAAAAAAGTACCACAGACCTTCATTGATTTCTGTGGAAAAATGTGGCTGTTACAGGCAGAAGCAAAGCAAATGACAAGAGATGGGAACATAAAAAGTGTTTAAACAATAATGCAAGTAACTATGGAAATATCACATATTATATGAACAGCAGGTTAACTGGGGAATATATTCAAATAACTATGCACAGCCATGAAAACATTGTTTATGTTGACACTTTCCCACAGAAGCCTCGTAACTTTATTGTTTTCAGCTTTTTTCAAGGTCTTTACTCTGTTGGTTTGTGAAAACCATCACTGGAAAAGCCCTTTTTGTTTTACATGTGTGAGTAGAGTGATGGCCTTCTCCAGAGGGCAGCGGCATGTCACCTGAATGACAATCAGAGGAGTTGGAGAATATTTTCCTTTGTCTGGACACATATTCCACTTCTTCCCAGCTCAGCCTTCTTCAGTTTAGTTTTGTTGATTGGAGCTCTAGTTTTTGTTTTTGGCAATAGCAACAAACTTTAAAACAGTTTTTTGTACATTTATTTACTCCAAAATTAGACGTGTTCAGCAGTTGCAATTTAATCCTGTAACAGACCCTGGGCTTGGTTAAGCATGTCAGCCCATTTTCTCCCCACAGTCACATATCCACCAGCACCACAAGCCTCCAGTGTTTTGACAAGCTAAAACACATATTTTAGATGTTTCTGGAGCAGGCTACAAGGAGCATTAAAACATACATTTTGGCAGATTTATTTACTTCATAACTAGTCAATTAAGACTTTTTCCCCCTGCACAAAGAAGACAAAGTATTTTAAGACAGCTGATTTTTAAGAGAAACAGGACACATTTAAGCTGTTACCATGAATTTATACTTATATTCATTTTGTTCAGGATTTTAATGTAAATAGATTTATTAAAAAACAGCAATGATATTATTTATGACAAGTATATTTCCTCTGTACTTTAGTTGATGTGGAAGCAGACAATTTATGCGTGGAAGACTTGTCTCCCTCTGGTGTTTGAAAACCAAACTTCAGCTATAAACAACTTTGTGTTGTTCATAAACTATTCAGCATGCCTACTGCAATCTGCATACCAACAATTCAGCTGTTTCCTCCAAATCTCCTTTTATGAAGTCTGAATTGTGTTTTGCTTGTTTGAGACTAATTTCTACTTCAGCTCATTCTGATCCCCAGTGAACTGAAGTGGTCAGACATTTACAAAACTTTTAATTGGAGCAACTCGGACCATCAGAATGTGAGGATGTTTTAATTCAGCCAGCAGAGAGTTTAATGACTCTCATGGAGTTTTACTGCTTCAGCACTGAGAGAACTTTGCAGTTTGTTTCTTCTCAACAGACCAGGGATCCTGTTCTTTAAAGCAGAAAATGCTCAGCACTAAATACAAATAATATATGATTACTGAACATCTCATCTAAAACAACAAACATGCTGCTCTAACAGCCTCCATTCTTCTGGAAGGTTTTCCCTAAACATTTGGAAACTGGCTGCAGGGATTTGCTCCTGTTCACCTGCAACACACTGGAAGTAATCTCACATGCATATGGTAATTTGATATCAAAGGTTCAACCTGCACTTGTGATAACAGCAAGAGGTTGAGGATTCTGTTGACATTTTCAGAACAGTATTATTCATGTGTGTCAGAACAGCACATTTCTCATGGACATGTACACACTCTTCCTTCTCCAGGTCCGTAGAACACAAACTGCTCCCACAACCACAGTGACGTTGTTGAACCAACAAACAGAAACATGTTTAAATCTAATGCTGTCAAAACCTGACACCTAGTGGACAGGCAGAAGAAAGCACCTAGATTTCAGTGAGGCTGATGAAGTATTTGAAATGCTGATTTGTCATTTTGATCCATTTTGAAACTTGTCACTTGTGATTTGATCTCCAAACCAGCAAGCTTTTATTGCACTGTAATATACACATTGTACATCTTCATGTAACCTTTAAGTCACATCAGATTCGGTCCAGTCAAAACCTAAAGGTCAAAGGTCAAAGTCTTGATTTGTCATATGCACAGTTAGGAAACGTGTTTCCCTGTACAATGAAATTCTTACTTTGCCATCCACATGAATGCCACATAATACAAGTGAAATATAAAGTGAAACATAAAGTAGATGAGCAATAACACAAGTCTAAATAGGCAGTAAATTCCAAATTTAAGGCACTTTAAAGCAGCAAGTGAAGGGAGCAAATAAAATACAACAAGAACAATATAATGCAGAAAGAATATATGCTACATGGCAGCCATGGAGTGTAAATATTCAGCAGTGGGTGTGCAATTATGCATGTGCAAAATGAGTATGTAAACAGTACAGATGGAATTACACGAGGTAGATCCTGAGTCAGCTGTTTAGGAGTCTGATGGCAGTCGGAAAGAAAGAGTTTTTCAGTCTAGAGGTCCTGCATTTCACACTTCAGAGCCTCCGACCGGAGAGTAGGGGTATGAATGGTCCGCACTGGGGCCCCTTGAGGATGGAGGCAGCTTTCCTACGCACCCCGCAGTGGTAAATGCTCTGCAGAGAGGGCAGTGGAGTGCTGGTGATCTTCTCCGCAGTCTTTACCACACCTAGAGAAACATTTAGTAGTTTTGCACATTTCTGTTTGTCCTTTATCTCACTAAATGAAACTCCTCACTCTCCTCCCTGTTGTTCACTGCTGACAGGGTTCCTGTGGTTCCTGTTGGGCCTTCAGTTCAGCCGGGGCGCTCGAGGGCCAGCTGGCCAAGAAGACAGGTAAGCTAGTGGACCTCAGTCCTCAGAACCTGGTGGACTGCGTCAAAGAGAATTATGGCTGCGGAGGAGGATACATGACCACCGCTTTCAATTATGTGAAGGAAAATGGAGGCATCGACTCTGAGAAGGCCTACCCATATGTCGGAACGGTAAAGCCATTAACTGTTCTTAGACTTTCCCTTAAGTGGGCCAAAATGGGGGATGGGTGGGGCAAAGGGCAGAAACAGATCAGTTACAAGTGAGACAATTTGTATTTTAAATAGTGTTTATTGTTGACCAGTAGCCTATAATGTTTTTGGAATAAGCAAAAAAAAAAAAAAAAAAAAAAAAAAACAAAAAAGAAAACTTTAAACCCT